GGGTACAGGTACGTTCTTTACAAAAATAAATACACGGTAACACGGAAGAATTATAATCTGCGTGGCTTGATACGCTGAATGACTATTTTTAAAAAAACGTGAACGCTTCATAAGATCTTTTATGTCTATCACCAAAATTCCAGTCCTAATCGTAGATACAGAACGATATATTCCCCAATGTCGTGTGGCTCTACACGTCTATGTGGCCTACAGGCCGTGTATGACATACTGTATTGTGTGGGCTCAGTCAGGCAGGGAGACAACCTACATCCTTCTCCGTTAAAGATTGGCATTCTGCTTAAATTACGAAAGTGCTCCCGGCTCCAAATCGGCATCTAATCTACGCTAAATGTTTGGGGAGTGGAGAGGGTGTTCTCCTGTTCTGAAAACACAAAAAAAATAATCCTTCAAATTTGAGTTTAAACTGACCATGGGGGAATTGATGGCTATATGAGTTCTATATCTACTTATTCAAACAACCGCTGTTTTAATTCGATCATAAGGCTGTAGCCTCAACAACTAACCCCGGTTTCAACCCTAACAAAAATCCCCGCAGAACAGCAAAAATACTGGATTCTGTATAGGCCTGTCGGTAAAGCATTAACAAGTAGCCTGCCCTTGATTTATTGTAGTGCTAAATCAGCCAGTGAGTCGAGCCATTTTGGAGCACAAATCTCGCTTCAACAAGTTGTCAGAGATTCTCTCCACCCGTCTCAGTGGTGATACGCATCAGTAACACAGAATCGACAGTAACAAACATACAGTACCACTACCGTAATGAAGGTTGGTAAAAAAGATAAGGTCTTACAGAAAGTAACTTATCACTACCATAATGAAGGTTAATCAAAAAAGATACGCAGTCAAGGAAGTAAATGATCACTAGCATGATGAAGGTTAATCAAAAAGATACGGTCTTACAGAAAATAACTTATCACTACCATAATGAAGGTTAATCAAAAAGATACGGCAGTCAAGGAAGTAACTGATCACTACCGGCATGCCTCATACTATCAGATCACCGGCGATTAGATACTTCTACTAATCTCTGTGTGTATTCCCATGTTTGACGGCCAGTCATCTGTTATCACACAAATACCGGACCACTTTTGGGAGGGGACTGGAGAAAGTTCTAGAACAAACTCAATCAGTGAAGTATCTGTCAACAGACCTGACAACGTGTCATTGACAGAAGACGTCTGTCATTGTTCTGGTGTAGGGGGGGGGGGGGCGTGTAATGTATACGTAGCTTTTAAGGCCAGCCCTACACAATGTGTTTCCACAACGGCCGCTGTCGACAATGTTTATGTTCTTTTATTATTCACCTGATATGACTTTATGTCCGCTTTCACCTAAACCTAATGTCCACCGGCGTCTGTTAAAAATATATCCTTATTGTGCCCTGACTTGAGCGATGTTTACCTCTAACTTTAATCCAGTCCAAGCAACATTAGGTAGTACCGAATCGATATTATTAGGAGATCAAACGTGATGAATAACACGTGACACACGGTATAGAATTTAGCCATTTCCTGCTCATGTTTATTTTATTATTATACTTCTGTTGCGTGCAATACGGTGTGAAATTTCTATTCATCTCAAAAGTTAACCCCAGCGTTGCTATAACGTCTGTTACTAATGTATCACTAAAGGTCTAAATAACTAAAACCAACGGGATGTAACGGAACGTTCTTGGATTACCTTTTCTGATATGCTGAAACAAATATTTGTCTTACAGAGGTTTTCCACAGATTAAAAAAAAGTATCGCTACTCTAACCCCGAGGCGTAGCGACCCTTCCCGGCGCCCGGGGACAAACTTTCAATTTGGCGCCCCCTCGGGAGCAAATTTTCAATTTGCACCCCCCCCCCCTCAACTAAAAATGCAGCTAAAATGTCATTTTAATTTATTTTTACAACTCATTTTGGCGCCCCCTAAAGTCGGCGCCCAGGAACATGTCCCCCCCTGCCCCCGCCCCCCATCGCTACGCTTCTGCTCTAACCAAAGCTACGACCCAAACTGACAACAATTTTGTGAGAGCTAAACATTTGGAGCTGCCACTTCCTGGTCGAACTTGTGCCGCCCTGTGTTAGGGAAGTGACAGCAGTGATAAGAAAACAGATCATTGAAGACCTCACTGATTGGCTGAGACCAGCTCTGATCAATTTATTATCATTCAATGCAGTGGCGTAGGCATAGACCCCTCGGTATATATATATATATATATATATATATATATATATATATATATATATATATATATATATATATATATAAAGTATGAGAGGGGGGGGGGGGTGCAAATCGAAAGTCTGGGGGGGGGGGGGGGGGGTGCAAATAGAAAGTTTGTCCCCGAGTAAAAATTGGAACCCCCCCCCCCCCCTTGAGACGATCCTGGCTACGCCACTGATTCAATGCTTACGTTATTGACAACTTAGTATAGATCTATACATTTAAAAAAAAGCAATCGACAATTATAAATAGCTGCACCAAAAGTCGGAAATATTCTACAGAATAAATTTAGATCGATCTAGAGCAGTGGTTCGTAACCTTTTTGGGGGTACAGAACCCCACCAGTTTCATAAGTGCATTCACCAAACCTTCTTAATAGCTCTATTAACAAAATCTCAATGTGAATCAGATGAGCCGCGCGCGTGTCTTGACCTCCGCCGACCCATGATACTGACTTACCGAGCCCCTTGGGTTCGATGGAACCCAGTTTAAAAACCACTGATCTAGAGTCATAGTTATTAAAAACTGTCTCGATTCGAGGTCGCAGGTAAATGACGTCATGCTTCGAGAAGGAAAAGGGGTGGGTCTGTCTACTATGACGTAGTGATGCGTAGGGGTGGGGATGGTCAAAGTAACGTAGCATAGATTTTACACGGGTGACTGAAACTTTATCAAGTCATCTACAGGAACGGGTCCGGCTTTGTGTGACTTAATCAAGTTGTCTTGGAGAACGGGGTCTGACTTTTTTGTGACTTTGCCACGCCTTCTAGAGAACGGATCTGGCTTTTTGTGACTAGCCTACATTGACCGAGGATGGGTAGAGGTAAACATCATCTAAATTTGCTTGACGCCTTTTGTGGAGGAGCCCTACGCCTACGCCAATTAAATTTTTTCTTCAAAATTTCTAATATTTGATTACCACCCCTTAGCCACGCCCATATAATCTTTCAGCTGGTAGCCACTGGGGTGAAACGGTTCAGGGCGAGCCTCTGTATTTTAAACACAAGCTATACGCCTATGTCTAAGTAAATAAAACGATCATATGGAACTAAAACAAATCTGACTTGATGCTCTCCATTTAAACAAACAAATATGATTTGTACAAGGTTTAAGATGTAAATTTAAATCACAACACCATCAAGCATGCACAAGCTTTCCAGCTTCTACATCAAGATCTATAGATGTAGGGGGGCAGGCAGGGGGGGGGGGGACCAAGTGTTTACACTTAGCAAATAGAAACTAGTCACTGGTGCATCTATTCAAATGAACATATACACAGTTAAACACACCAAACACAGTGTAAGATTTAAAATGGTTGATTGTAGGTCAAACAATTCATACAAAAATACAAATAACTGAAAATCAATCTTGAAAATAAGCACTTTAAATGTTACAGTACAGATAAAATAAAAGGTTTAAAGGGGATGTAAGTCTTAAGAAGCTTTAGAATGAACTAAATATGCTCTCCCTTAGAAAATGTTATTAATTAAAATATTTCTATTTTATAAACAACAGACACTATAGAAACTCTCTTAGTAAAGTGTTTAAAGTCACAAGTAGGCCTACATGACAACATTTCAGTCTAGTACAGAAAAAAAAAGACAATCCTTGTTTTTTTTAAAACTGAAAATCAATTAAGGATCTTGTGTTAAGTAGGTTATAGAGCTGCATTAACCCACTCTGCTTAGTTTCTTGGGGCTCTGTTTTATCTTCATCAAAGATCTCATATCTAGATGAAGCTACATGCTAGCTGTTCTGGGTTAACTAGTGTGTGTCACTTTATATCAATGGTAGTGTAGCTGCACATGCTGTTATGTTACTGGATATACCTACGCTAAAGCCAATGTTTAATCCTTAATGCAATTCTAAAATACTTTTTTTAAAATCTGATTTATAGATGTTTACCTGTATAATACAAAGATATTAGCAATCAGAACTATGTGTGGTACTTTCTTCAGGTCAAGTGTGAGAAAGAGAGACAACTCATACAAATATTTGGTTATGGTTCCTATTAATATGTCCAATACCAAATGAAGATATCTAAATGCATTAGTAATTTATTTGGTTTAGTGTAGTGTTAATTTATTTTTGTGTTAACCTTCCATGGGGAAGATAAAACTTAACTTTAGACCTACTATCCTATTTCATTTTAACAATGGCATAATTAGTAGGCCCCTATATGCTGAAATTTATAGGGAGAAACTACTAAATTACTAAATATCCTTTAGCTTTAAAACCTTAGACTCATTTAAGCATTTTAATCTGATTCATCAATTTTACTCAATAAGTTAAGTTAGGCTTATAACAGATAAATTTTACACAACTAACACTGACAGACAATGCAGGACTAATCCTGGTGTAAAAATATAAATAGTTTTAAAAGTTTTAAAACGTTAATTGTTGCATTTGTTTCCAGCTTAACAGTAAAGCAGGTACAGGAAAATATGGTAAAAACATAATATTTTGTTGGAGTAGTAATAGTAGCCTACTATAAAAGAAAAAGTAAAGATTCCTGTTTAGACCTATTGATTCACTGGGCATATGAAGTTCATGTTTCTTGACCTCAGCATATGAAGGAATGATGGTGTCAGCACTATGCCTAGCCTAACGTGAGTTAAGTACCCACCAGAGCTGGGTGGACTCAGGGACGTTCTACTGACTTAAACCTGGATTCGAACTCTAGACCATGCCTTCCCACAAAAGCCTAGAGGCCCACTATTTATTAAATTGTGAATATATAGATTAGGAGTTTGACAAAATTGTGAAACTTACCACACATTTTATTGTAGCTGGAGCTGATCAGACAGGACTTGATAAGTTGAAATGAAGATGTAATTTAAATTTGTCTCAGTTTCAATGTAAAAAGTGTTATCAATCTTGTGTAGCAGTTGATCTATATTCTAATATTATAGTGATGTCTTGGGGTGATGTTTACAGTTGAAAAGCCTTTTTTTTTCTATTTTTTATTGAATATAAATTAAATTATTGTTAATTAATTACTAACTAGTAGATCTACTAAGCCTATAAAATATAAATATTACACTTTGACTACAGTATAGGCCAGTATAGGGACTATACTTTAACTTTTAACTATCTATAGTTATAGGCTGAACAACAGCGCTGATTTTCTGGATATAGGCCTAATATTAATAATCCCTAGGTAGCTTTATTTTAATTCTCAATAAACTTATTTTTAAATAAATTATAGATGATCTAGTTATCTAATAGATCTAGATCTAAATATTAAATATCAATTATAAAACCTAAAATTAGTAGCCTTGGCCTATTTATTTACACTTCTTACAGTAGTTCTAGAATCTAGATCTAGTAGTAGTACACTTAGGCCTATAAGAAATATAATTATAAAGTAATAAAGTTATAATTATTAGCCTAAGTTATTAGGTTATTTATTAGGTTTAGCCTACAGTGCCCTACAGGCATATTATTTTAAATATTAATGAGTAAGAAAAGGGCATGGAATTCTTGCCTAGTGTAGTTATTAGTTAAGTGTAGATTCTAGTAGTGTAGCCTAGGTCTACTGATTACCACTGAATACATAGAATCTAGATCTAGATACATAACATAAGAGTAAAGAGATTTCTAGATCTAAACTCTAAACTATCACTGACACTAGGCTCTATGCCCTAGGGTAGTGTAACTAGTCACTACACTTGCCCACACTACACACTTGAATGTAAATAAAATCATGTTGAAAATTACTGTAATGAGTAATGTTAAATGTAAATGTAAGTCTAGACTAGATCTAGAAAATCTTAGAATCTAGTCTAGATCTAGATAATCTCTAATCTAGATTCTCTAGCTAGAGTCTAGATTTTATTTTAGTTAGATAGGCCTAACTGAATTTTTTACTAATGTTTGCTTAAAATTAAAAGTTAATTTTTTAAAAATTAACATAAACTGGGGGTCATATTTCATAAACATTAGGCCACTAATAAAGATATTAAATATCTTTTAATAAATTAATTAATGTGCACATTACTTAACTAATCTATTTGGGCCTATGATTGTAATTAATTTACTTAGGGCCTAACTAAGAATAGCTTATGTTTTAATTTAGTTAGAAAAAAAATCACATCACACACAACTGACTCCGGAAAATGTAGTCTAATGCCGGTTCTAGTTTTAATTCCTTTCCGTGGTTCCTTTTATACTTTTATAAACAAGTGTTATCGGCTAAGCAAAAAAGTGGACCAAACTTAGAGGGCTCAGATATTTATAACATTGCCACGTCTCCGGCTTGAACTACACCTCGCGAGCGATGAACAACTATTTGCTATCAACTGTGTTTTCTTTCATTCTAGTATGTGCGCAACCTCTGAACTCTAAGGTTTACTTCCGGAACCTTGCGTCATGCGGTGTCCTAAGAAATCGTGGGGGAGTTAAGGCGTTAACTTTAGGTTAGGTAAAATGTAAGGCATATATTCTTTTCGAGTCTTCTAGATCCGGGAGTTAATAAAAATATCAAATACCTGGTATTCAAATTTTAGCACCTATGTTTCAAACCAAAATTTAAGAACACTATTACATTCAATTAAAAATAAAGAAAAAAATTAAATAATAAGCCAATAACCTAACCTCTTATAACTGAGTTAACCTGATTAAGTCCATGCTATATATAGGTCTGTCGTCTACTCTTTACTGCTTGGCAGAGGCTTAGCGAGGGGGGGGGGCGCCAAATTAAAAGTTTGAGGGGGGGGGGGTGCAAATGAAAAGTTCGAGGGGGGTGCAAATCGAAAGTTTGAGGGGGGGGGGTGCAAATGAAAAGTTCGAGGGGGGGGGGGTGCAAATCGAAAATTTGCTCCCGAGGGGGGCGCCAAATTGAAAGTATGTCCCCGGGCGCCGGGAAGGGTCGCTACGCCTCTGCTGCTTGGTGGTTCATTTAAAAATAATTTATTTTAATAAGGGTTGTAAGTCTAAAAAAATCGAAGTGAGTCATGTTCAAGGAGTGATAAGAAATAAATTATCGCGTCTTTCATCAGCAGATTAAATAATCAGACATTAACATAATTAGTTGATCATTTTAAATTAAGATGTAGACGTGTATGGGTTCATGATATAACTAGGCCACTGGGGCAAAATCTTCGATCCGTTCATTGTGAAAGAGAAGAAAAGCTAGATCTAGACCAGGGGTCTCTAAACTTTTCAGCCCGAGGGCCGCATTAACTATCGAAAATCAGTTTGGGGGCCAGAGTTTTTCCGGGCATCTCTTCGGGGAGGTAGAGCCCCGCCTCCCCCCCCCCCCCCCCGAATGTCTACCTAATCCTTCCCCCCCCCCCACCGAAATATAATTAATATAGAAATATATACACATTTTAAGTGTCGTCGTCCACCCCCTCCCCCCGGAGAAAAAAGTCTGACAACACACACCAGGTCCAAGTTTTTTCTCAAATGGTTCGCGTATTTCATTCATGAAAATGTTTGTTCACGCGGGTATGTTTTTGCAAAATTTGAAAGGTACTTTGATGCAAAAGTTTTATGAGAGTCTTCCTTGGTCGAAAACGTATTAAAATAAACCGGGAGTGATCTCCCCTAAACTTTCTCGAATATTCTTATATAACTTGGAATATAGACATGATTTTTAATTACTTAAACTTTTAAAAATAGAATAGAATCTCATAGAAAAAAGAATTGCGCACCAAGCGAACGCCAAAACAAAATGTGCATAATAGTGCGCAATATTATTACTACTTTATAAATTTACATGCGTTTTTTGAGAAATCGGAAATAGCGTAAATTAGTACTTCCGGTCAACGGAAATTATTCAAAATTTGACAGAAGGTAGAGAATTAGATATTTTACTTACATGTGAAATTTTCTTTATCTATCTGAAATAGTACTCAAGTTACAGGCTTTTGAAAAATTCAAAGTAGAAAAAGTACCACTTCCGGTTATCGGAAATCGCTCAAAAGTTGATCAGGATCTACGATTTTGATAAAATACTTATATATATAAATTTCATCAATCTAGCTGTAACGGTACTCAAGTTATCGTGTTTACACACAGACAGACACACAGACATACCAACAAGATTGCAAAATTATGTTTTTCCGTATCAGTGAGGTGTAAAACGTCGAGAGTTGTAAAAAATTCGATTTTTTTTTTTGCACGATTACAATACTTTCTCTATACTTCGTATATACGAGTAAATAAAAACCCACCCTTCCTTCTTTGAACTAGTCTCTAAGAAGGTCATTTGCTTGCAATTCAGTGACCTCCAGCTGCAGTTCATCTGGGCAACTGGCCACATTTGCTTCAAATGTTTTGAAACAGTCTCACTTCTTCTGCCTTTGAACCCAAGTCGGCAAACCGCTACTGAAACTGCAGCTGGAGGTATTTAATCATCTTGCATGTAAATGACCTCGGGGGACATCTGTTGCTTCAGCTAAGAAGAACTTGCACTGCTGTAAGTTCGTCAAGTTGTTGGCTTGTACTAAGACTTGTCCCGAAAACATGACAAGTTTGGATCTGAAGACCTTTAGGTGGGTGTATAGATCAGAAATTAGATTTCCTTAATTTGTAGCTTTAGGTTCAGAAAATTTAAATGCAGAGGCCAATTTCTATACTTTTCATCAGACATTAATAACAGCAGCTTGCTTTGTTTTCCAGGAAGTCACCTATTTCCTTTCTTAACTTAAATACCCTGCTCAGAACTTTCTCAAAACTTAGTCATTTTACTGGTAAATCTTGCGATTCTCTGTTTGTATCTTTCAACATGTCTCTGAACTTTCTGTGGTTGAGCCCATGTGACCTTATACATTAACCATCTTCAACTTCAACCCAGGATTCACTACACTGCGTATGTCCACATATGTAGCACACAAAGCTTGCTGGTGAATAAATAATACAGTGCAGGAACATTGGTTGTAGAATGTTTTTCTCATTACACATCTGCTCCGCTTGTCCAACCAAGCCTTTCTTTATGCCACTAATCTTCTTCCTCCGTCAACAGTCAGGTAACTGATGTTAGTCCAGTCTAAGTTATAATCAGCAAATTTTTGTTTCAACTCATTGAATAGATCTTCTCCGGTAACAGTGTCATAAAAGCCAGCTCTTGTGTTATGTTTATGTCTTCATTCACACCTCTAATAAACACAAGCAGTTGAGAGGTGTAACAGCTGTCCAGCGACTCCTCCATTGCAATTAAAAAATAGTGAAACGTGCTAGTGCTAGCATTTTTCGCTATTTGAGTCACAGTGTTTTCACCAATGTCTGCAACACGGTGGGCAACGGTAGTTGCACCGAAAGCTACATTTTCAAATTGTTTTGCATTTTCTGGGCAAAGTTCCTCAGCCACCTCCAACAAACATTTTTTTTTTCCGTGGACAAAAAGATCGCGGGCCGGATGAGAGGACCTCGACGCGTGCCGCATGCGGCCCGCACTTTGGAGACCCCTGATCTAAACTAGATATGCTATACTGAAATTTTTGAAAAAGACACTGTTACTATGACTGTTAGGCCTATACATTTACAATTATTTATCGGCCTGTACGTGTGTGTGTGTGGGGGGGGGGGGGGGGGGGGGTAATTAGATGAAAGACTGCGCATGCTTATCTACCCCTTTCGATTTTACATACTGAAACTAAAATATGTCGGGGTGCAATGCCATTCTTTTTCTTACTCATTTTTTTTCATCTATGGAAATCTCATAACATTAACATGGATGAACTTATTTTAAAGAAAAGAGATGATTAGGTTATAATAAAGCTATATACACAAATAGGCCATCAGTTTCAAACACGTATTTCTTGGACTTAACTCTCTCCCCTCCCTCACGTTTTTCGAATTGTATTTTTTCTTGTCAATTGGCAGACTATACCTATCAGATACCATTGATCCTACCCAGTCAGACACTTATATTGGCTAAACATTTGTTACCAATATTGGCTACTTCTTGGCCAAACATTGGTAGTGAAACTCAGGCATGATGTATACCAATATATTAATATTGTCGTGAACCCCACCCCCCATACTTTAGTTTGTGATACGTTCGTAAGATACATCCAACACTGTGGCCAGAATTCAAGTCAAAACTCTCCGCTAACTGGGGCAAACTTTAAATTATTTATGTCCAACTTTATGTACCGGTGCAGATGTGGACCGAATAAAGTGCACCCGTGTAGCATGTAACAGCTGCCGGTAACTGAACCTCACGCAACAGCAGCTCCTAAAATTGAAACCTTTTTAAATGTTTTTATCTTTTCCCCCAACAGAAGCGCTTGAATTTGAATGAAAATCAACGTCTGCTCTACGAAGCGTCAGTGCAGTGTTATTTTTTTGGTTTGTAAAGAAAATGTTTCGGGGGGGGGGGGGGGGTGTTTAAGGTGTATACATATGGTTTTTTATATTTCTCCGGGGGGGGGGGGGGGTTGGGTTACCCCCAGATGGCTGAAAGAAATGCATGTGCGAGTAGTTTAAACTGCTTATTTAGGCGTAAATAATAGGTCTATGTTATTTAAAATTAACAGAAATCTACGAGGGTATCCCTGAGTCCACCCAGCCCAGATTGGTACCGGACTCAGGGAAAGTGAAAGCAGCTGAGCATGGTGACCACACCATCCCTTCCTATACTGAGGACACAGATGAATCACTAGTTCTGAAAGGGTAACTCTACACATTAAGTAAGCAACATATATTCACTGTGTCACATCAAAATTTGAAAATTTGTGGAATTTGATTGTAAGAGCTCGATTTGTTTATGAATTGCTGTTGGCTCATAAAAAAGTATTTCATAAAGACATTTAAAAGATGTTGTAGTTGAGGTAGGAAGTATTTGATTAGTGGGTTGGAAAAAATGGTTGTCTATTTTGAAAGTCATAGTCACACGAATTTATTTGTCTGGAGCCAATACGTTGTGAGCCCATTTGTCAGGAGCCTAAATGTCAGGGTCCTTTTGACTGTGCACCGTGACCAAGTGCATACTTCTATATATAGGGATGCATAGAGAGAAATAAAAATAGGAAAACATGCCTTGTTTATTTAATTTTCAAAATATATACAAACCAGTAGACATGTACAATACCCAAGATCTAACTGAAATTAGTTAAAGCAGTAAGAAAATTGCCTTTCTTGCACCAGATAAAAAAAAACAACAAAAAATATCACTACCATACCAACATAAAAAAAAAATGAGTTTTAGCGTTCAGAAAATTCTCAGCTTAACAGAAGAATATTATGCTAGCATAACCAACAATTATTTATTTTATATTATTGCTCTGTGTTAGGATTTTACAATGAAGTTAAAAAAAATATATACTGTGATAACCTAATCTGTAAAAAAATATGCATTCAATATTTAATGTAATGTCAATATGATTTTTTAAAAACAAATGTTAAATGTATTGAGGAGAGTATTTTTTAAAATAATTTTCTGTACATGAAATCAAACTAAAAATGTTAACTTTCAATTTACAAAATAGTTATATAGTCCTTGGGTATAAAAACCAAAGCCCTGACAGTATCTACAATTAGAATCTTCTCTAGCATAAAATCTATAGCTAAGTTCTGAATAAGCAAAAACTTAACAAAATAAATAGGATTAGGTAGTGGAACATTACAAAACATTTTTTTTTTGCTAAAAAAAATCAGTCACATATAATTATTTAAAAATAAGATTCATTATTCACCAGAGCTTATTGACGTGGATGAAGTTTGGGTTGCCTGAAAGACCACACCACACTTGAAAGGTTCATGCCACATTTTCTTGCAATCCCTAAGAACAATAGTGTGAGATTACACATTAACAAAAAAGCAAAAGAAACTCATACAATAGTAAGTATATGGGGGTTAGTTGATAAATTGTTTACTTACATGCAAGAATCTCTTAAGCAGTCAGGATTCTGACAGGAGAACCTTTTACTGGAGCAATTGATTTCTTCCGTTAAATAGAAGCAGACAGGGCACCCTACCAGACCTTGAAGGTTGGCCTTTAGGACCAGTCTCTCCAATGTTTTATAAAGCTTTGAGGTCCCTAGTAGTTTAAACTTAACAACTGGAATTGTATTATTACACCCAGGACTCTGGCAAACTAGCCTGTTGAATAAACAAAAAACAATAAAAATAAAAAAAAGCAAACCTTGTTTACATAGTTTGTTTAAATTCTTGCCTATAGATTTTTTTTTTGGAATTGGAAATAGCAGAATGTTATAAGTCCAAGCCACAAAATTATGGAAAAACTTGACTAAGATAAAAAAATAGCTAATATAAAACTATGTAGTATGGGGCAGGCCCGTTGCAAACTTAAAGATTTTCTCCAAGAACTCAAGAAACACTGACTTAGTGTTAAAGTTAAAGGCAATTATCCTTAGTATGAGCACCAGATAAACAGTGAACAGGACTGCAATCCAGTCTATAGCTCTAACTCTAAACTAAGATGAGATCATCTTACGCTCACATAGCCCTAAGAAAACAAAAATCATGGATTGCTGCTGTGATGATGAGTAGACCAAGCTCAGATGTATTGTCACATTTATTAATGTTTAGTTTTTTAACTGGAAACCAATAAATTTTAAAATATAAGTGGAAAAAAATTCTCTATTACGGAATTCTAGGAACCCAGAAATGTGAAAACCCTACACAACATAGGAATTACTTATTTAAATATAAGAATGAACCAATATTTGAATAACCGAAAATATAAGCATGGGTGACTATATTATGTATTGAATACCTGTACTACATAAGAAACGACCTATGCTTTTATTTTTAATTTAAATAGTAACCAGTATTAGATTTTTAAAGAGAAAATATTTATTTTCTCGATTTTAGTGCATTTTTATTAGATAAAAACTGGTTATTTAAACGTTATTTAAAAATAATTATTTTTTATTACCATTAGTTAACATTTTAACACAGAGAGTTGCATGACTAAAAACAATTGAGCACCAAACGGCAGTAACAATGTGAGTATAAAAGCGTGGAAAATAGTACTTTATAGGCCTATAGGAAACTTTAATAATTAATAAAAAATTAATCAAACATTCAATTACGTCAATTTCCTGCCATTTTTTATTCATAACAAAAGCATGAGGAATCAAATTAAACAGCAACTTGTAAAAAAAGAAGTAATAGCCTTAATTACCGTGTCATGCTGTTATGGACAGATGCTGCCATGTAATTGTCCATGCAAATTCTGCAGATAATATGTCCACCAGCGCAGCAAATTGAATCTTTGATTAAACAATGTTGAGAGCATTTACTGCACACTTGAACACTTTGGTTTTCCACCGCCTGGCTTATTTCTATTTCTCTAGTAATTTCTAAATCAGCTATCAAATCTAAAAGTAAATTATTATTGCAACTTAATTATTTATAACATGACCAAAAGTGTTGCGATAAGTCTATGAAGCATATACATTTTTAGTAAGACTTGAAAGGGTAATTCCCCAAAAAAAAAAAAAAAAACATTAAAAAGAAAACAACTTACTACTTACTTAATATACAAAGTTCATTTTCAATGTAAAATCTTTCCATGAAGAAGGCTTTGTCCATTTTAGCAGGAGGATCAAATACATCAGTCCTGTTGGGTGTCCCCAAAAATATTGACTTAACCCTATCTAGAAAATGGAAAAAAAATTATGTAATAATTGAAAGGTAACTAAGAAAATTACCACAATTATTCATATACAATGAATATTAAACTAATTTACGTTAAATGTACAAAAAAAAACTTATTAAACTACAAATTAATTACAATAATACCAAAGGCTGATGGGTTGAATTTTGCAAGCTCCCTGTATGTTGGTACTAAATGATTGTTATGCTTGTTTAGCTTCCTTGAAATGAAGCCAGAGCTAAAATGCCTAAACTTTTCATTTAGGAAAGCCAAAGCATGCTGTATATATATAGTAGTCATTTCTTCAGTCGTGTCCGAAAATTCTTTCTCAGGATTGGGACACAATTTTAAAAATGTCTCTGGGGTCATCTCTGCATTGATTTTATCTAGTAAGATAAAATTAAAACATTTAAAAGATGCAGGAAATAAGTTACAAAATCATTACAAAGTACTTTTTTTTAAAAATACTGGCAGGTTGCAGCTATTTTCAAGGATATTGTTTCTGCTGCGGTTCTACAAAATTCAGTCAATCCTGACTTATTATCCCAGCTGGAGAAATACAGACTTCCTATGTACTTACTTCTAGTCAAATTCTAGTACTGACATGCAAAATCTGGTGACCACTTGAAAGTATAATCAAATAAACCGATAAATCTTAAAAAAAATCTTAAACATCTAAGAGGAACATCCATATATTCTACTTAGCTAAACCAAAATTTTAGAAAGCCTTACATGGTTTATGTCATTGTAGCAGAACAAGCAATTTTGAGTCAAAATTATGCTAATGGCAAGCATGTATGCTAGACCTAACAATCAAAACTGACCTTCTAATTCAACATAGTTTGCTGTTGAAAATAACTCATTGATAACTAAAATAATACGATCTTCTTTATCCACAGCATTCTCCAACATGGCATACAATTCATTAGGATCATTTTCAGGAAAAACTTCACTCAAAGCGCTCATCTCCTTGAGAAGAAAATCTTCTCTTTCCACTATTTCATCAGATGCATGCGCCTCAGTTAATTTTGCTTTCTTTGCTGGATTGGTAGATAATGGGCTGTTAAGAGCTCTTTTTGACGCAGCTTCTGCCACTGGTACTAAAAAATGCATGTAAATGTAAGCACACTTAAGTTTTTGATGGGCCATTTCTGCATGGCCAACAATAAAATTAGATGAATTGGTTTAACTACTTTTCACATTGTATAAAAGCATGCAATTTGGAATTTTTATTAATCTATTGGCACATACCTTGTGATTCTGCAGTTTGCAGAGCCAACCTAACTAATTGGTGGGAATTCTCAATAAGGCATTTTTTTCTCAACTGGATTCTGCATTCTTCCAGCCTCTCAGCAGCTGCTTCATTTAAGGGTTCTATAGCTATTACTTTTTCATAATCAAGCATTGCTTGTTTGAATAAGAATAGCTTTTGGTGTGCCTGGAAAAAAATATGTATTTATTATACAGAGAAAGGTGGATTTTTTTAACAGGGGCATCAAAGAATTCAAGGTAGATTTTTGAGGTGAAAACATTGCAAGGAAAATTTATAATTAAAACATTCTTAACAATACTATTGGGCCCTGTTATTTGCTGTAACGAAACTATACATGATGATCCTACACTGCATTAATATAATAGACACCTTTAATATTCAAGTCGAATCTAAGATAAGGTAGTTTTTAAAAAAATGTCATCAATAATGTACACATTTAATTTATAAATCTATAAATATAGAACAGAGACACAACATTATGGAGATGTTGCTGGCATTGAAATAGATTAAGGGGAATTAGGTAAACTTGTGTGTTATTGAGAATTGTACAGCAAAGTGTTCATCTAGTGCTAAGGATCAATGAGTAACTCTCAGGAGTTTGACAGAGGTCGAGAAACACACCCAACTAATATTTTTTGTGATTGTATCTTTGCAGCCAAAGCTGATGACAGTTCATGGAACAAAGTGCATAAAAACGAGATAAGATGTACCGGTATTGTGATATTTCTAAATATAGAACTCTTGAAGTCACTAATCGTGTCAATGGTAAGTCTAAAAATGTATCGTGGCCTAGTAGTCAAATTATACTATCATGATTTCTTTCTTAATATTTTAATCCCTTTATAATTCAAAAGAAAAAAAAAAGAAAAAGTCCTAACTGCATGGGTTGCAATGCCAAATTGAGCCATTTCTAGCCTAGCACCAGCCACACTAAGAGAATATTTTCCTAAGTCATGAGATGAAAATACAAGAACACAGTGTGCATTTACAAAATGGTGTCTGAAAGGAAACATCAGAAGCCATGCTGATTTGCAGTAAATATTCATTATGTTTTTATAAAAAATCATACTTAATGGTTTAGTTTTTTGAACATCGTGATATAATGCACAGTGCTAGCATCAGTAAAATATATACCTATGGTTTGAATTTGAAGAATCACATTTTATTTTTCCTATTAGAAAGGGTCCTGTGTATGTGCATATGAAGCTGGTGGAGTTGGGTTAAAGAACAGTGCAGAGAAAATATGTATTATTATTAGCACATTTGTATAATACAATAAAATAGTTTTTTAAGTGTATTTTTCTTTTTAATACAAAATTGACAGAAATGAATATTTTGGGTGGACAACTATCTTTAAATGAAAAAAAATAATATAACCAAACCAATTTTTTTGTAACTAGGGATGTAATAATTGTTTTAAGAACCACTGAATGTCAGCTGAAAACCAGAAATAGGTGTTAACAAAGACTTGTGTACAGAATCATACAGATAAGAAGTTAGCCCTAAAATACTGATTTCAGGGATTAAAAAAAAAACAAAAAACAAAAAAAAAATTAAAAAAAAAATACCAACAAAAAACAATTTTATCTTACCTGGGCCCTTCTAAAATAGGCTGAACCAATGTTGGATAGTGCAATAGCACTATTAGCTGCTTCTATTACTTCTTGAAAATTTTCAAGGAAGAGGTCACAAGAAGCTAAGCCTACATAAGCTTCCAAAAGAATAGCATTCCTCCTCTTTTTATCAGCTTTAAGAACAAAAAAATCTTCTCTGTTGTCTAATATTTCTAAGACCGATTTAAATATGTAGGCCGCTTTCTTATAACATTTTATCTGTTGACAAATTATAAGATGGTAAATTAACAAAATAAAAAACTAAACAAAAACCAATGTTTCCCTTTATTTAAAATATTTAAGTGATAAAACAGTAAACTTTACCCGAGACAATGCAGTTGCATTAACCCTTCTTTGCTCTGCCAGGCCCAGCCTTTGCCCTACATCCAAGTCAGAGATTTTCTTTGCCTAGTTGAGAATGAAATCATTTTAACCCCCTGTTTTAAACTGTTCATGTACTTGTTACTTTAGAATCTGGTCATAGTTTCAGTAGTTTTTTAAAAGCTTAACAATTATTAAAGAAGTAAAAAAAAAAACATTTTAATGTTACTGACCTTTGATAAAGCCAACACCTGGATTTCATACTCAATCTGAGCACCAGGAGGAACGTTTAATGCCACATGACCTTCTGAGCCAAATCCATATTCAGCTGTCATTAGCACTCTAGCTTGTTCAAAAACTTGTAGTTTTTTGACAGCAATCTCTAGACCAGGGCATATTCTTAAATCTTCTGTTTCATCAATAACAAAGGTAACTTCGGTATCTTTCTCAATGATTTGTCCATCATGAAGAAGAGAATACCTTACTAATAGAATAAAAATGGTGTCCAAAATTAAATAGCATAGAGTTAAAAAAGACAACAGACAACTTATTAATTAAAGGCATTTAATTACTTGATACAAACACACAACATTAAATGAGGCTACTTACATGACACTGTGTCGAATTCCTCTGGGTACACAGCAGGTAGCTTATGTAAAATTACACCACCATCTTTTAAACTGGTGACATCCTCACCTGGTTGAAATGAAGAAAAAATGCAAGCTTTAAGGGCATGGGCGGGTGTACTTTTCGTCATAAATCCACTAAATCATCACTTTCCCATTTTTACTTGATCTATACAGAACAACCAATGTTGAATCTAAAAATGACATTGTTATGACCCTAAAAACAGTACTTATTTATGAAAATCCGCTTTCAATTTAGTGTGTACAGGGTAATTTTTTTTTGGTAAAAACAGACATTTTTCGACCTAGAAAAGTACTATTAGGCTTCGCGGAAACCTAATGTGTTTCATATCAATGGAAAGGCCGTGACCTCCTTTCTTTATTTGTTCTAAAATTAAATGACCAATCAAAATACCTATTTGAATGTGATTATTTTTCTACGTCATAAAGTTGTTTATTTTACTAAGTCGGGTTTTTCCAGTATGCAAATTTTTTACCTCAATTTTTTTATTGGCATTCATAGGCGGAAGCTAGTTAGCGATTGGTCATTTCGCTTCGGAAGTAAACATTCCCTTAGTTTCAGCGCGTGGCTAAGTTTGATCTAGTTTTGTTTCTCTAAGCTTCTGTGAAATACTTACATTATTTTAACATATAATTATTTCAATTTAATATACTATTAACAGTTTAGACTAGTTTGTCTGAATTATCATAAGCAGTGAGACGATTTAATTTGTTTCTCTTTCGATAATGGGTAGAACAAAACACTCACTAAAAATAGATACACACATCTAACTAATTTACTAAAGCTAGGGCACGTCCGAATGCAACTGATTCAGCTACCTCTACTCAATCTAGCACTATTCAGACAAGCACTGGTGCAGATGCAATATGCACATTTACTAAGAAACTGCGGCAATGTAATCACAGTTTTTGCAGAAAGAAGAAAGCACTGTTACATCTAGTACTGGTAGTGCTAATTGTAAACCACAGCCATGCAGAATTATTGTTGACTGATTTGCTTCTTGATGTTATCAATACATTTCCTCGCCCACTGTGATGTAGTGGCTACTATTGATGAAAACAGTGTAAAGGGTTTGTTTCAAGCATGGTGTGGCAGTAATAAAAATGTTGTAAACCATAAGTATACAACTGCAAAAGAATCCAGAACAAGGCCATTCACAATAAACAAAGACATTGTCATAATTGGCTTTAGACATGAGACCATGCAAAATATACTGCTGTTTCTGCGATAGCATAATTCAATTTTGGGCCCAGGCAGATTATGGCATTGCTGTCAAAAGAAGGAATCCGTAGTCGAAGACTCAGTGAAGGACGCCGAAAAAGACACCTTGACAATAGCTTTACTATAGATCTAGGTTAAACAAAGAGCACCAGAAAAAAAGAAAACTAACAGCTGAACAAGCTCAGAAGGAATATATTCAGCAGCACCATTCTTCAGGCTATAAATGTGGTCGATTTTAGTGACATACAGCCGTAAATTTTCATTTTTTTTGCAACTTTTTTTTTTGTTTTTTTTTCTCAGTTTGATGTTTTTTGTACAATTGTTGAAATAACTTTGTTAATAATTATCAGAACTTAACTAAATTTTCTCCAGTTACTCGTTATATATGTTCAAATAAAACTGATAGAACACTTTTGGAATTTTTTAAAAAAACATTTTTTTTTTTAAATTGTTGAAATAGTGAAAAAATTGGACGAAATAATGAAATTTTTACAGTGATGTTTGGAAAAAAAAAAGTAAAAAAAAAAAAAAACAAACTATCTTCTTTTTTGAAAATGTAATCTATCAGAAGTCTTACACACATGTGTCTGCAGACTATATTAAGTTTTCATGAAATTTGTACCAAGCATTTTTGAGTTATTTCCATTTAAAAATGTCAATAAAATCCAATATGGCCACTGTCACCATGGCAACGGAGGATTTACTATGATTTAGAAAATTAAAAAAAAATATTTTTATGCTTAACTTTTTGAGTTATAACTATTAGCCAAGTATTACATCTTTAGACTCGGAAATAAGGAAGTTGGTACTCATCACCCGCCCATGCCCTTAACTTACATTAAACTCACCCTTATCTTATTTAATACATGTTTAGCCTTTTTTTCTTCTTTGTAAATTACCTGCATTATCCATTGTGGGCCTTTTCTTGCACGATCTTAACTCTGTGAACAAAAATTTTCTAAAGATATATATCCTAATATATAAATCCCCACGTTCGCACATCTCTCTCTCTCTCTGTCTGTCCGCAAAAAATTTTCGCCGGACATCACGTCAGAATCGGCAGCGATATATCGATAACTGTTTACGGACTTTTGTTGAAAATAATATGTTAGATGTTTTAAATGTATAACCACAATTTTATTTAAAGAAGAAAAATAAAAAATAAAGGCGTATTCGAATGTAGAGAAACAGTATTATTTATGCAACCGGAAAAGCATTAATAGATGTGAAAAAGAACGCATAAAACTGTGACGTCACTATTGCTTATACATTAACTAATGACATCATCTGCCGTGTTTAGAATGAAAAGAAATGAACTATTTCATTCAAATTTGATTTAGATCTACGTACACTATGAAATGTATACAATACAATTTTTCCGGCCTAAACTCATTAAATTTATTTTATGTATTTGGATTCTAGATCTAGAGATTCTAGATCTAGACTAAATCTAAATCTTCGCAATAACTAGATCTAGACGTAGACGCTAAGATCTAGATTTAGACTCTAACTTCTCTAAAATCAATTCCAAAAATAAATTTCTATATTAGGACTAAACTATTTCAAGACTTATTTATTTTATACAAAATCTTTGTTTGGAACTGGCTATTTTGGGATAAAAAATTAATTTGAAAGAATTGAAAGAATAGACATATTCGCGTAAGTTAAGATTTTAAAATACGTGTTTCATTCTCCGCATTTTATAAGGTACCTAAATAGCGGAGATGTTAGTGTACATTAAACCACGCAGGTGGTGCGGGTTCGAGACACAGCAAGTCAACTTGGTTAATGTATTCTTTTTTATTATGCTCGGGCTAAACTTAAAAAAAAAAAATTCTTTTAGGAATCTAGATCTAGATTGTCGGGTGTCCGATAGGGCACTTCCCGGCGCCGCAGGCGCTTTAAATTTGGCATGATCTTGCCTTGGTGCGACAGAACACGGGGCCGGTTGGCCGAAAAGTCTACAATGTGAGGGTCAAAACTGACCTCGACTGACCGGTACCTTATATGAGCTATAAATCGAAAAAAAATGTCCACGGAGGAACCTCTTCATAACTCTTGAGGTCGTAGACCGACCTTCGGGCGAATTAATTAAGCATTCAAATTCTCAATGTTTTCGAAAGCCTAAGCGAAGCTGGGCAGCATGCCTAGTATATATATAAGGGTTCGAACTCGAGACTTTTCAGTTTAGCAAACATGAGGTTTACCGACTCGACCACAACTTTTTCAAAACTGAAATTGAATACCCAAATTTTGCATATCTCAAAATAATATTTTGAAAAAAAAAAAAAATAAATTTGGGCCTAACATTTACTTTCATTACTTTTCGAGTGTTCAATATACTGTTGACTGTTTTGGATAGATCTATCGTCTTTGTAAACCCTTGATATTTGCGCATAGGGCATAACAAAATTAGTTTTAGCCCCATTTATATATCCCAGAATGTTTTATTATAGAACCCCCACCCTTCCCCCCTGACCTACAATGCACATAAACCACTAATTAAAACTGCATGTGTTACTAATACTATGTTTTATAGCATAGTAAGTACAGCTGACAGAAATCACATTCTGTCTCCTGGAATAAAATGTACACTGTTTTGTGCCTAATTTTATAACATACCCAGGTTTCAGCACTTCCAATATACTAAGTTAAATAAAGAGTCAACCAACTGTTAAATATAAATAGCAAGTATTTTGCTAACCTCAACCATTATTTAATATGATGTCGATGACCCCTAATTGTCACTGTGTTACATACAGTGCTTAATTTATTAACAGTGACATCACAAATCTAAAACAATATTTTATCCCATTTCACAAATTAATAAACTAGTGGTATTGTTAAAAAAAAAAAACAACAACAAACAGATCTACTACAGCAGCGACTGTTCTACAGGAACTGACAAAAAGAAAGATGGGCAAACCTTCAAAAAATAATACTATGACTCACTAACTAATTAGTCTGATAGGGTGCCCAACAAGTTCATTTTAACAGCTGTTATTTATTTAGATAAATGATTAGCTAGAAAATAATCTGGATTCTAGATCTATGCTCATATTGCAGTCATTTATTCAGGTATACCTTGCCTTGTGACACAAGTTGTGCCTTCTGATCTAGATCTAAATCAGACTAGACCTAGATTCTAAATCTAAATCAAATCTAGATGATCTCGATCTAGATAGTAGATTAAATAATAAATATTAGTAGGGGGTGTGGGGAAATTGCGAGACGCGAAAAGCGAAATGGCGAGGCGGGAAAACGCGAGAAGTGCGCGAAAACGGTCGGTCACGTGACTTTTTTGTCTCGCATTTTACCACAAGCCAATACTTACGCTGGGTGGTGTTGAAATGCGAAGATTTCTGCGAAAAATTTTGTATTATAGCCGCCGCCTACGATTTTTTCTAGCTTTTTTTACCATATAAATCTAAGCACAAGGAAATGCCTACATCATTTGGATACAACAAAATAAAGTGACGTCACCGATATTATCAGTTGCTCGTGCTATATCGTAAGCTATGGGCCTACTTCAAATATTTTTAAAACCAAGTTGAACTTATCTGAATTTTTTGGTTTTGGTGGTGGTGTTATTTGGGGTCTTCCATAAATGACGTCACACTCGTAGGGGGGTGGGGTGGGGTCTGTAATTTTATTTTAGAAAACTGTTTTAATACATTGTAATAGGAATTGATTAAAATACTCTAGTTTGACCGAAATTAGACAAGATTTTGGGAAAGTATCGATGTTTTAAAAAAACTCAACTGCTGGTGACAACAATGAGCAAGACATTGCCAAAATTACAGAATTGATAAAAAATACAAATTATAAAAAACGGAAAACAGATGTTGAGCGTGCGGATGATGATGATGAGAACATGGGTGCCAGTGTTGTTTGTGGGATGAACGAGGAGGTCAACTGTGATGAGAATGTGAAATGTTGTGAATGTGGATTGGAAGAAGTACAGACATGCCTACCCCTGTCAGCCAAAAGTAGGAACAGTTATGCCTAAAAAGAGGAATTTGAAGCCAAAAAGAGCAACATACGCGCGGACGCAACTTTACCAAGTCAAAAATAAAAATAATTAATTAAAAATTACTCTAATGACATTAGTAGGCTTCTAGTCATATATAACTAGTCTCTAGGATACATTTAAATACTGCTTAACGTCAGCTTACATTTTTAAAAATCAATTAACCAGTAACACCCCCTCCCCCCAACAGTCCTGACTACAATAGGACATAATTTACAGCTTTTGAGGGTAAAAAAAGCGGAACGGTTCCGCTTTTGGCGGGACGGTAGGCATGTCTGGAAGTAGCAAAAGAAAAATGTATAAATGGGAGTCTAATGAACTGGGTTGGGTGTACTATGTGTGAAAGATGGTGTAACGAGGTGTGTTTGAGGACTGTTTCAGATGATTTTGTTTGTAAATTTTGTTTGTAATTAAAATTACTTAATAAAAAAAATAAATTGCACTTTTTAGAATTGTTTATACTTATACACTTTTTGCAAGTACAAAAATCCATAAATAGATGTTGCAAAATATCTCTCCTGCTGACAAGATTATACCAATTCACAATGACACAGCTCACGTTTGTATAAACATGAGCGGGCTAGATTTTTAAATTAATGCCGGCTGAGACGGGATTTTCCTCTCGCTAACAAGAGCGGGCGATGACAGTAGCACAGCAATGATGTTAGGATTTTTAAATAGATAGATCTAGATATAGATCTATCCATCTTCTTAGTATCTAGATAAAAAAATAACAACATACAACACTCGTGTTAAAGGGTATGGCTAAATGCTTGTTTATTTTAAAACAAAAAAAAAAATAATAATTTAAACAAATAAAGATGGAAAAAAAAAAGGAAAAAACTTTTTTCGCAAAAAGTGTCTCGCTATTTACCTTTAATTCCGCAGGTATGTCTCGCATTTTCCCACCTCGCCATTTCGTTTTTCGCGTCTCGCAATTTCCCCACACCCATTAGTAGGCTACATTATTAGCATGAATGAATGTCAATAAAAGAAGAAATTATAAATTAATAGGCCTAGAATCTAATTCGAATAATAGGGGGCCAAAATATATTAAATATAGACTAGATCTTGAGTCTAGTTGATAGTTATAAATATTAAAGCTAGTTGTAGATCTAGATCTAGTAGGCTAATAATATAGAATTATTAATTAATAATTTATAGATCTAGATCTAGTAGTGGAGTAGATCTAGTAGGAATGATGATCTAGATTAGATTCTAGAATAGAATCTAGCTAGATCTAGATTCTAAATGAAACATTTAACACGAAACCTATTAAGGTAAAAAAAAATTTAGGTATGTAAAATTGCCCACGGCTAGTAATGTACAAAAAAGTTAACTCATTGTCAAGGCTTTAATAGAAGTATATATATTGTGATATATTTGTGTCAAATATTATAGATAAATGAATAATAAACCTAAATCAATGGCTAAATACTAAATATATCATTGAATATAGTAGGCCTATAGCAAGAAATTATATTTAAACAGATGTGTTTGCGAGCAGGATTTGCTATATAAAAGAGGCCATCATGTAAGTTATAGTGAATATAGTGGCTTCCCCTGAAACTAGCGGTATAAGTTTACTATAAAAAAATAAACAAGATGGCTACTAGACCTTCTATAAACTAGAGTAAAGTTCCACGCGCGGTCACACATAGCGGAAAATTCCAAATTCCCGATTTTCATCGGGCGCTATTTTATAACCGTTTCACACAGGTACAAACCCAGAGTACTATATTATTCCTCTGCCTTTCTACTCTTAATATGTATCAATCATTTTATATTCCTACGTATTGAATTTGAGATATTCATGTTTTAATGACGTGCGACTTGCGATATTTTTTCCCCTCTTTTTTTCTCCCTGCGGCCATCTGAACCG